AACAGAAGGCTTCTATCTGCATTGCTTGGATATGGTTCATTTATGGTCCTCACTTAAGTTGAGACATTGAATACTAAATATATCATGGCTGTTTGGTGGCCTTATTAGATGATTTAGCCATAGTACACCATCTTTGACCTGTCCACAATAATTAATAGTGAAAAATGAAGAATGAGCATGTAGTATTTACATGAGAATGGGCGTTTACATGTGGATGCATGAGCATTTACATGTGGCTGCATGAAGCAAGCACTGGAAAATATCATCCAGAAAGGAAGGGCCTGGGACCAGGGAATTTTGTGGGAGGACCCAAATCTTGAGCACAGATTGCTGTTGCCGTCATCACTGTGATGTGTGAGCAGACTCCAGCCCATGGCAGGCTGGAGAGCATAGCTGGAGTATATTCTACAGCAGAATCCCAACCCCTTATACCCTGGAGCACAGGTGCCTACATACAACAGCCTACTTCTAGAACCTACGTAGTAGGAAGACTTCGTAAATGTCAAGAAACAACAAATTTTCCTAAAGCAAAGTGATTCCTCCATGGTCAGTGTATAGATGTATTGATGTAGAAAACTTTAATAAGTTTGCGGGAACTTTGCAGTTAGGCGAAGGATGCCTAAAATTGGTTTCTAGACACAAAGAACTCTTTAGAAAGTGGTTAGCCTTTCAAGCAACTCCTAAGAAAGCAAAGATTTTGTATATTCAATGAGACCCGTGGAATAACAATTACTTGTGTTTGCAAGGAAGCAGACAAACCAGTTCCCATTTCCCTTACCTATAGCTTGTTTACTGCTATTTTCTTTAAGACTATCAGGGTTGGTGCCTGCAATTGGAATTTGAATATGTAGGGAAGAGGCAGCCAGACTAAGAGTAAATGAGATTTTGAATAACCTCTGTAATATTTATAATCTTGAGCACTCTAAATTCCCATCATTTCTTACTCATCAAACGAACTTGAATGGATTTCTGGCCCATTTTTTCACTTGGTACACCTAACACACACACCACACACACACACACACACACACGTGCCCACACACATGCGCATACACAGCTGCAATGTAAAACTGTAACTTTCAAATAAGAAGATATGCCTGAAAACCTGAAAGGTTTCTTATGGTGAGCCTTGAGTGGCTTTCTACCCAAGTCTTTCAAGTCGAAGTATGCATCTCCAAGTTATCCTGGAATCTCAAGTCAAAAGCAAAAAGAGAGGAAAAGCTAAAAGATTAGTGAGTAATCAGGCTGAAGCAAAGCCAGGGAGGAACAGCTCTGGGATCAAGAAGGGATGTGCACGGGCAGGAACACAAATTCTCTGGCAACTGGAGCTGGAAAGCATCAAGGTTCTCAGAGCACACACAATTAGCTCCTGGAATGAGGTCAGCACACCTGCCTCCACAGAGAACACAAGCCCTTCCTGAGGCAGAGTGCCTCCGGCATGCCTTCCCTGGAAGCTGATAGTTGAGCTGTAACTGTCCTGACGTTGGAGCTTCATCTATGCCTTGTGTTTTTTGCCTGGCCACTGTACTGGCACCTGCATGATCTTGCCTGGCTCTCTCCATACTCCTGAGAATATTACAAAGGACAAAGTATCACCTATGTGGTAATCAAAATATAGAAAGAACTAGATGAGATGACATTGTTTCAAACCAGACAGCTGCTGGGTGACAGGGCTCACTGCAAAAGTCAGGCTCTCCCCTGCTGTACTGTCATGGCCATAGTCATAGCCTTCAGCTTTATTAAAGGCTAGCATGTTGTTTGCGGCATTCTCTCTTCACCACACAGATGTAGCACCAAGCAGGGTACTCAGCAGATCCCTACCCACCTTTGTTCTGATGAGTTAAAGATACACAGACTACATGATGAAGCAGGCTGGCTTGATGGTCTAGAATCCCCCATCCCTTTGCTTGTCTTTTCATATGAAATGTTAACCTCCTCTGTCCCTGGAAGAAATATGGTCATCTCTCATTCTTCAAACTAATCATTAAAACCTGCTTTAACAATTTGCAAGGTCGGTGAACTGAGCTATGATGCAGGCCGCAAGTTTCCTCAGAAGATTCCCTGGAAAGGAGGAGATGAAGCTCAACCATGAACTGTGACAAACAGGAGGGCAGAGACCAAAGTCCATGCAGAGAGTCTGGGAAACTGGGAACCTCAGTGCTTCCTGTTTTCTTTCCCTCTTGAAGGTGAGTACAAAGGCTGTTCCAGATAGAAGTCTATTCCCAAGGGGATGCCGCTTTTGAAAGCCCTAATGGTAACATTGCTCTCCTCTTCCAGGTCTGGTCCAGCATCACACAGACTCACGCCATTCCTCAGCCTGGTGTGGTATAATGGCTCTCAGTGATCACTTCTCAAACACATCTTGAAGGATGGAGAACATTGCAACTGTGGTAGGATGCAAGGGAGAAGATTTGAAGGTGGAAAAGGACTCTAAGAAAACCTCAGCAATATGTGCACAAAGGTCCAGGCCTAATGACCCGTCTGCAGTCTGAGCAAATGCAGCTAAGATTGTGCCACCAAGAGGGCCGAGGGTATGCTTACACTGTGACATCAGCCAAGGACCAGGAGGGCTCACAGGGAAAAATTTTAAGGAAGGGCCATTGCAGGGAGTGGGCAAGCTGAAGGAAATGAGCAAAGCCAATGAAGCCCTGGAGGTTGGCAACCATGGAGAGATACTTCAACAAAGTAAGTAACCAGGGCCCATCGAAGAAGGAGCCTTGTGAGAGGGAAGCCTAGTGGTCACACTCTGGGTTCATTAAGAGGCCTGGCTATGATGGAAATAAAGAGCAGGAGGTGGGACACCAGAGAAGACTATCTCAGGCTTTATCTTCCTCTCCGGCTTTGTCTGTGGCAGTGGTTCACAACCTGTGGGTTACAACCCCTTGGGATTAGACCATCTTTACACAGGCGTCACATATTTCATATCAGATGTCTCGCATATCAGATACTTACATTAGGATTCATAATAGTAAAAAATTATAGTTATGAAGTAGCAATGGAATAATTTTATGGTTGGAGATCACCACAACATGAAGAACCATATTAAAGAGTCACAGCACTAGGAAAGTTGAGAACCATTGGTCTGTCGTTCTTCTTATTGACTACATCTGACCAGAAGCCAGTCTGCAAAGGAATCCCAATGACAGAACACAAAGCAGGGACTTCAGAGTGACAGTAATTGTGGAGGCCCAAAAATGTGAGCCTATTTCCACCTCATCTGATGATCAGAGAGTTTGGAGGTTGCTCAGTTGACTCAGGATGTGATTACTCAGTTCTTCTGGCATTGAGATGGCTCATACAAGTAGATCCATTCTATCCTGACAGATGGTCAGAATATGCAAGCTTACTTCTGCTCCTTCTTTTGTAATATGAGGTTACTTGGGGAGTGGCTGTCTTCAGGATACTTGGTCTAGGTAGGATAGCTCCACTGCCTAAACAACAAAATGCTAATGACTTGATGCCTCAAAGTGTTCAAGCAATTAACTGTTCTAGTTGTCCTTTGTATCATGTTAAAGAAGTCTTCGTTGCCTTCTTCCCCTTTTGTATTGGGTATAAAAGCACATGGAAAATTAAACGTGGATGATTTCAGACCTCACTGAAATGCCCTCCTGGTACTATTCTATGGTTTCTGCTTTATTATTTTTCACATGTCTTTGTATTCGTTACTTATATTTCTAAATCTCCATGCCCCTACCCTGGCAAGAGGTGTTTTTTTGTCAAGGCTTAAACCCACCATAAGGTACCCAATGTGGGGCACAAACCCACAACCCCAAGATTAAGAATCTCATGCTTTACTGATGGAGGCTGGTCCCCTGATAATTGATTGGCAAATCCAGACCCAAAAGATAATCTTCATTACAAATATTAACTAATGAGTTAAGTAAAAGACAAAAATTTGATTTGATTTTGCCAAATCAGCAACACAGTACAACAATTATCAATGCTATCCAGTAATAAAACATACAAAAATCTGTTTGGCTAAGTCACTAAATCATACGACTGAAATCTATTGTATCTATTGTGACTACTATGCAGCTATATTTAATATATTTATAACATATAGTACTTAGCATTTCAGATACAGTAAAGGTTTGCACAAATAAGAAAATAATTAAATTAAAATTTAATTATAAATAATTGCAATAAAATTAAATAAAGTAGAAAATTTTTAAATTAAGAAAAGTTGTTGAGAAATTTAACTCTTATTAGATAAATTATTGTTGGGGTGTGGGGGCTGGAGAAGTGGCTCAGTAGTTGTTTGAATGAGAATGGCCCCTAGGCTCATATGTTTGAAGACATCATGCCCAGTTGATGACACAATATAGGATCAGGAAGGAAGACCTTGAAGGAAGTGTATCACTGGGACCCGGCTTTGAGATTTCAAAAGACTTGGGCTAGTCCCAGTTCTATTCTTTCTGTCTCCCTATCTGTCTCTCTGTGTGTCTCTGTCTCTGTCTCTGTCTCTGTCTGTCTGTCTGTCTCTCCCTTGTCTCCTGCTTGTGGACTGAATGTAAACTCTCAGCTATTGCTCCAGGGCCTTGCCTATCTGCCTGCTGTCATGCTTCCAATCCATGATGGTCATAGATTCACCCCATGAAGCTGTAAGCCCCCCAAAAAACTTTTTACTTTGGTCACTGTGTCTCTTCACAACAACAGAAAAATAATGAAGACCATGTCTAAGAGCGTATTGTTTTTTTTTTTTTTTCGGAGAACCAGGTCTCAGTCCCCAGCTCCCACATGTGGCTCATAACCATCTATAACTCCAGTCCCAGGACATCTTATGCCTTCTTCCATCTTCCTTGGGCACCAGGCATGATCATGCAAAACGTGTATGCAAAACACTTAAATGTGTATAATGAAAATAAATAAAATCTTATAAAATACATTGTTGTGGGAAGCAAGATGGCGGTCCAGCGGAATGAACATCTGTGTGCCTAGAAACAGATGTGAGAAGCGGTTTCTCCTCACGATAACTTTGTTCATGTCACCTCCTAAAGATCATGGCCGCCGTGGTGAAATGGGGGACATCAAGCAGGACTGTCTGGAAACATTTATTTCCAATCCGGAATGGAGCCTTAGCTAGTGCTTGTCGAAAGTCTACCTACTCTTCTCTTCCCGATGACTACAACTGCAAGGTAGAGCTCGCTTTGACATCCGATGGCCGGACTATAGTGTGCTACCACCCTTCTGTGGACATCCCGTACGAACACACGAAACCTATCCCTCAACCAGACATTTTGTGTAATAATGAAGAAATACACGAACAAGTGCTGAAAACAAAATTAGAAATAAAAAGTGAGAAGCTTGAGAAAGGGCCCATGATAGAACAACTCAGCAAGGTGTTCTTCACCACAAAGCACCGCTGGTACCCGCATGGACAGTATCACAGACGTCATAAGAAACCGAATCCTCCCAGAGACAGGTGACATCTCTTGACTTCCCTGGCATAAGGAAGTTTCACTGTGTGTCTAATTTGCCAGCTGAGAAAATGCTCCTGGTATATTCATTAAGATGTTATGTAAGACAATAATAAAAGTACCCCTTCATATTTAAAAAAAAAAAAAATACATGGTTGTGGTTTGAATGTGAAATGTCCGCACAGGGATTGTTCTAGAAATTCACAGGGTCTTTAGGAGGTGACACCTGGTTGGTTGGAAGGGGTGAATCTCTGGGACTGATCTAAGGTTAAAACTCTGATTCTGTCTGGTTTTAGACCATAGATGAGAAGTGACTATCTACCTCATGTTTCTCTTCTGGCCTGCCCTGGTCACATGAGAGCCAAAATAAGGACTTTCTCTCTTAAGTGGTGTCTTATTGGATGTTTTTCACAACAATGAGAAAAGTAACCCTGTGTCAGATAACCTAAGAAGACAATGAGCTTCCTTCTCCTCACTTGGAGAACACTTAGTTACTTTTCTATTACCGTGATAAAACGCTATGACCAAGGCAACTTATGAAGAGCTAAAAGTTGCTGGGGATCAAAGCCCACATGAAAGTATGGCAGCAGTAACAGCTGATTCTTCTGCAAGCAGGAGGCAGAAAGCATACTGGGGATGGCCCAAGTCTTTTGAAACCTAAAGCCCACCCCCTTTCCAAGAAGGCTGTATCTCCTAATCCTTCTACCAACTGAGAACAAAGCCTTCAAACATTTGAAACTATGGAACCACTCTCTTCCTAAGCACCATGGTCCATAAGAATCTCTGCTAACACACAGGGATCTCCCAGAAATTTGCTTTCTCTGTGTCTGGTCTATGTCACCTTTGGGGTTTACCTCTGTTTCTTGGAGTTTCTGGCAGCACATCCAAGATCTTCATGGTCTTCTAGGGTGGATGGACACTCTCAGTCTTGTGTAGTAGGAAGTCGCTTGTTCATTTCCCAGCCTCCCAGCCTCCCAAAATACACAGAATCTCTGTTAATTAAATCACTGCTTGGTCTAATAGCTGTAGCTTCTTATGGGCTAGCTCTTACATCTTAATTTAACCCATTTCCATTATTCTATATTTTACCATGAGGCTCATGGCCTACCAGCAAGGTTCCAGCTGGAAGCTCACATCTTTCCTCTCTGGCTACATGGCTTCTCCCTGACTCTGCCTTCTTTCTCCCAGCATTAAGTTTAGTTTTTCCCACCTAGCTCTGCTCTGCCATGCTCTGCTATAGGCTCAAAGCAGTTTCTTTATTAACCAATGGTGTTCACAGCATACAGAGGGGACTCCCACATCACCCTTGTGAAGGTCAAAACAGATGAACATAAAAAAGCCTTTCAGTGTGAATCCCTCCCCACTCTCTGCAGGTCCCCTTCCTCAGTCCATAAAGTTACAATGCAAATGATATTGCTAAGTAGACTTTCTAATGTAGTTTGGGAAAGAATGGACAACATAGAGTCAATAAATGCTGACAATAAGGGCTAGACTTTCCCTGGAATATCATCGTGGAGACACCTTTTAAACTTCTCAAACATTAGGTGCTACCCCATGAACAACATCTCAATCCTATAATAACAAATCCTATGTCAAACTGTGCCCTGACATTACCCTTATCAATACCATTGCTATCAAGTTTTATTGCTTTAGAAGTTCCCTATTGACCTATGAGTTCACATGCATTCTGGATTCCTTTTCTGTATTTCCACAAGTTGCATATCTGCTGACCTTTTATTGGTTCATCTAGTAAAGTGCTTTCTAGTTTGTTTGCTTGCTTGCTTGCTTGCTTGAAACAAGACCACATTTTGGAGCCCAGGCTAGGCTATATCTTATTGTTTCCTACATTGCCCAGGCTGACCTCAGATTCACAGCAATCCTCATCGCAAAGCCTCCTGGATCCTAGGATTGCAATCTTGAAGCATCATAGCTATAGCTTAGATATGAAATATCTCCCAAAGCCACAAGAATTATGGGCCTGGTGCCTCAGTGGTCTGACAGGAAGCTGGCGAAACCTTTCAGATGAAGGGACTAGAACGACTTATTCTCTTAGTTAGTGGTGGTGTGCTCTAGAAGAGAATCATGGGGCTGCTGCCTCTTCCTGGTTCTCTTTTGCTTCCTGGCAGTGATGAGAGTGGTTTGGCACCCCCAGTCACTCCACCATGTGGTCTGCCTCTGAAAGCAACAATACCAGTTTTGGGGCTGGAAGTGAGATAGCGAGAGCCCCAAACAACCTTTTCTCTTTATGGATTAATTGTAGGGTGTTTGTTACAGTAACAAAACACTGACTAGCACACTTCCCAAAGACACACTTTGACTTTTCGTGAAAGAACGGCATCTAGATCCAAAGGGATGGAAAGAAGAACATTTATCCAAATAATTAGCGAGGCACCTGCCTTGACCTTCACATCAATAGATCCCAATATAATAAGGAGCAGCTTTATCTATTTTGTCCTGGTCTGTGTAAGGGGTTTTACCATGTTTCAAAAAATTTCCACAACAACTTTCCATAGCTACTCTGCTTATTTGAAGGTGAGTGTCTGGCTTTACTTACACCCAGCAGTTCTCAGTTCTCCCCATTTTGAAGCATTATTGTCAACTCCCTGATATAAATGAACTAAGTGCTTCCCTGATCTACAATCTTGTGTTCAGAACTGGCTATATGATTAGTAGGCTTGCTGCAACTGTGAAAATGTGGGTACCTTTTACAAAATTATCAAGAATTTCAAAATGTCAACAGCAGATCATTAAACCTAGGGTGGGGACTTTCAGAACACTGACCCCTTTGTACATTCTTATGCTCACAAAACCAGCCCTGTTCAAAGTCTTCCAGTAGCTTGCACCCCAGTGCATATAGAGTTCATCACCTTAGCCACACACACTTTGCAAGTGACTGTGTTGCACTTAAAATCCCAGTGGGTTTTTAACTCAGGGCAGTATGCTGATCCAGTCTAATTTGCTGACCCTACATGCAGGAAGAGCATCTGAAGTCCTCACCTTAGCATCTGAGACCCTTCCCTGGCTTTCTAAATCCCAAGTTGCCTCTCCAGCCCAACATTGTTCACTGAACTTTCGATTCTGCTCAGTGCTTATGTTGCCAGGGCTGGCTGCATCATCTCATTCATCTCTCCGCTGTGCCTGGCTTGTCACAGACCCCCAGGTGCTTCCCGAGAGAGTGGCCAGCCTGGTGATTGCGCAGGTAGCTCTGGTTCTTCTTGACCTCATCCTTGGCTAGGCTGTCCAGGTACAAAGGCCTCAACTACTAATCTTATAACTCTTTAGTTCTGCATTGATCTTGGCTACACAAGCTAAGCACATAAAAGACAACAACAACAAAAAAATGCTTTGGAAAGACTCTGAATTGGCTTTGACCTGTAGAGTGGGCAACCTCTTGGTTCAATCAGACACTGGGGTTGTTGGTAGGGCTGGACTTCAGTGGTGGGGAACATAAAGGTGATTGGAGACCCTAAGGAGTTTCCCACTTTAATTAATTCTATTAAGCAGCAGCAAAGGCAATGGGGAGACGATTTAGCCTTGCTTTCATATTGTGAATAAAATGTTCATGCTATTGTATCTATAATTTTTTATGTGCTATGAGCTTTATGTACCAGAATTGGCAGTTCTCTTTGCCTCTGGAACTGAAAAGTAGGAACGGAGTAAATTTCTTTTTAATGACAGCTCTTTTTTCAAGAGTCAAATAGTGCTATCAGACAGCTATTTTCAAAGCCTAATTTTGGCTGCACCACTCTTCCCATTATAAATAAGATTCTCTTTTCTATAAGCTTGATTTTAAGCCTGTTAGAAGTGGCAATTCTGCTACGAAATTCTTCATTGACCTGAAATTCCATTTTTCTCCTTTGCAGTATCCTCTCAGACAAGTTTTCAATTCCTTATTAGTCTAAGGAGTCTCTTCTCAGGGATTCTGTATAAGGTCGACTTCTGGGGACTCCAGTGAAAACTGATTTAATTATCTGTTACAAAGTTCTTACACAATGCCCAAAAGCTTTAGAGAATAAAGGAGGACACCTCTAAGTCATCATTTGTAGCTCTATACCACTGGAAAGTAATATATGGGTATATATATTATATAACATATAATATATATTATCAAGCTAGAAGATAGATAGATAGATAGATAGATAGATGATAGATAGATAGATAGATAGATAGATAGATAGATGATAGATAGGTGTAGAGACAGACAGACAGATAGAGATAGATAGATAGATGGCACTGAAACCTGAAACTCATCCTAGATCAATGACTTTAAAAGTTGTTGAGAGATAGCACCAAAATAGAGCTACCAAGGGCTCTTGTCGGGGGTCTCCTTTTCTCCAAGCTAGTCTGGCTATTTGTGGCATGTCTACCCAAGGAGTGGGGAGTTCTAGTACTGACTCCTTTCCTCTCCTTTGTTTCTGAGTTAACTGAAAAAGAAAATGCATTTAAGTTGGTCATCCTCTCAAGGCTCCTTACAGGCTTAAAGAAAATATCCATCAACCTTCCTGAAGGGATGTTTTTCAATCTACTTCCACTTTTCTTCTTTGTGGTTATTGGAAGAGGGAGCTACATCTGAAAATACCGTAATGCAATGCTTAAGAAACAGAAAAGGACTAAGTCGGCAGTCCAAGGCAGTCCGCCCGTCTGTCCTGCTCCAGGACACAGGGATCCCTGAGTGCAAATGCAGAGTGTGAACAGGTTCAGGACCAAGTGTCACAACATTTGCGCTGATGTCCCTCAATTGCCAATTACAGCTGGCTGCACAATTTAGTTACCCAAAGCATTGTGGTATGCCTTGATGCATAAACACTCATGACTAATTGGGAAAAGCATTTCTAGAGTACCAAGCTGAGGATACACGGCTCCTTTATTATTGATTCCTGGCACCCTGCCCATCTAGCAGAGACCGCTTTCTTTTGAATGAGGCTTGGATGGGACTGGCTCAATCGCTCTCCGTGCCCACTTCCGCTCGGCTCCACAGCACGGCTGACTAACCAACCATTTTCTCTACC